TATATTGTCTAGGATGGAAAAAAGGAGTCAATTTCCCCAAAATGCTCCAACAGCACATAGTTTACTGTGCGCTATGGACAGTATGGCTATGGAATTTACTAACCACACAATCCACAATCAGGTGATTAAGTCGCAAAACTTTATCTGCCTTTGGTGGATTAAGTCGCAAAACTTTAGCTTCGTTTTGTGGCACCATTTACTCTCGGTAGGCGGCGACCGGTTTCGTTAACGGTTGGTACATTTCTTACAAACATTCAGCCAAAGGCCAGTGAAAGTTGAGACGGCAGCCGGGTTTTTATCGATGTTTGCCATGTTTGCCGTATGTGTGCCATCGTAAAGTCATGGTTTGCTGGAGTTGCGTTTAATTTAAATCTCCGAACTTCTGAAGTTGAGATATCCTATGAATGTAGGCTTGTATCGCAGGCTACAATTTAAAAACGGGTGACCAAATAAATTAGGTGCTAAATTTTGATTTAATGCTAGGTAATTTAAAAACAGACATTCAGTCCGAGTGGGACTCATTCAAAAATTCGAGGGGGTTCGCTAGAAAAGGGGGGTTCGCCTAAACCAAACCCCCACCCCCCCTGGCTACGGGCATGAAACCAGTTCATGGTCAGTCTTGCCCGTTGGCACTGCGTTCTCAGGCAGTCTTTAACACGTTCAGAATGGGGATCTGGGTCATGTTTCAGTCCGATCTGCTGTAATATGACCCATATCTAGCCCGTTCTCCTCATTTTGATTCAGTACTTGCTATAGTAAACATGCCAAGGGAACAGAAGAGGCAAGGAAGTGGAACCTCAAAGAAATACATTTATGATTTTCCTGCTGATGACGATGCTGGCCCATCTATTCCTGCTGCTGATAAAGAAAAAGAGGAGGAAGCTCTATGGCTACCATCATTTAATTAAAAACATTTAATTACCTCATTCTGAAAATGATGAAGCAGAATCACAAATTCAACAGGGCAAGAAAAAAGGTCAAAAACACTGGCACACCATGGTAAAATAATATAACAATAGCAATTCAGCAGTCATAATCAAGAAAAGATTTCGTTATTTATAATAGAAAAATAGGATCGTTGGTCATAAGGTTTGCTATTCATAACTTAAAAAAAAGAGGTTCGCTTTTAATAATAAAAAGAGGTTCGCTATTCATAATGAAAACAGGGGTTCGTTATACATAATTTAAAAAAAAGGTTCGCTATTTATAATAAAAAACGAATTCGCTTGTCATAATAAATAAAAGATGTTGCTAGTCATAGAATAGTCATAAAAAAGGAGCCCCAACGCTAGTACAAATTTAATTGAGTAATACTTTTTTAAACAACTCTTGAAATATAAGGTAGTCAACAAACGAATTTAAAAAAAAATATCCGAAGCATTTAAAATGTAAATATATAAATTTATAAAATATAAAAATAAAGTCTATATTTAAACAAAACGTAAAATATTTGAATTAAAAACTGTAGCTATTAAATATAATTTAAAACCACACTTGAAGCAGTTGTTTACAAGGTCTACCTTGAGAGTCATGTGAAGTACTCATCTCCATTTCAATGCTCACCACCCCTCTCCCCTTCGCTTGTTTCCTGAATAAAGAGTTACGAAGTATCCGTACAAAGTCAAGGAAGTTGTACTAGTAAGCCCTACAAGTCAAACAGATATAAGCATGCATATATATATCTGTCTCTTATACACATCTAGATGTGTATAAGAGACAGGTCTCCAATAACCTGTTAAAAACAAAACAACTCAAGGAATGACAATAAAGAAGGTGGTGGTTTAATGGGGAAAATTGTGCCAGGCGGAGTGCACGGGAGAGGCGTTATTTTGGGGTGAAATTGAAATGTAGGAGTATAACTAGCTTTCACTTTTATTGTAATGACCAGTAAATCGTTTTTCTTTTCAAACTATAATTAGCTTTTTTATTATGACAAACCTTTTTTTTAATTGATTTATTACCATTTTTTATTTATTAATTAGTGAACGTTTTTTTTTTTATATTATGAATTGCGAACCCATTTTTTATTATGAATAGCGAACCTCTTTTAGTTATTATGAATAGCGAACCTTTTTTTTATTATGAATAGCGAACCTCTTTTTTATTATGAATAGCAAATCTCTTTTTTTTTTTAATTATAAATAAAGAACCTTATGACGAACAGTCCTTTATTCATATTATGAGTAGCGAACCATTTTTCTTGATTATGACCAGCGAACCTTATGCCGTGTTGTCCTTTTAATAAATTATGAATAGTGACCACTTTTCTTGATTATGACTAGTGAACCTTATGAAGAGCGGGCCTAATTTTTTATGAATAGCGAGCCCTTTTCTTCATTATGATTAACGACCCTCTGGTATAGTGTAAGCTAATGTTATGAATAAAGAACCTTATGAATAATAAACCTTATGGATAGCAAACCTTTTGACTAGCGAGCTTGACTCGCTAAAATGTAGTAGAACTGACTAAAAACAGATTAAACGTACTGACAATGTAATAGAAACGAGTAGATCTGACTAAAACGGACTGAACGTACTGACGATGTAGTGGAAAGGAGTAGATCTGAATAAAAACTGAGCAAGAACTTTTTAGAACTGAATAGCAACGTATCACAAACGTATAAACTGGTTAACACGGCTTAAGAACGCAGTAAAGACGTAATGGAATGTTTAGGTCTGCCTGAGAACGGGTAGGACGGGGTGGAACGTAACAGCATCTGTGTTGGATAACTCCTATTTTTCCCCCGTTTGCACGACGTTCAGCTCGTTTTTGACCCGTTCGTTTCATGTTCACAGTACGGCAATTCCGTTTTCAGTACTGCAATCTCGTTTGAGATACAACCTTACTCAGTCCTATTTTTGAACGGGTAGAATGCGATCGAATTTTAAACATGGTTGACGTTCTGGACCACCATTCCCTTCCTTGCCCGTTCATACCGTTCGTCCTAAGATTGTATTCGGTCTCTACTACGTCCATTTCGTTCATATCCCGTTCGTCCCGGTTCCACCCCGTTCTCCAGAACGTAGTGCGAACTAGTTCAGTGTGAAGGGTGATTAGTGTAGTACGCAATCAGGCACTCATTATTATTCTAGAAAATGATTATTCCCTTTATAATTCAGATTCCTCACATCACCTTTTCATATAACATACCAATTGATGAATGTACTGTATTCATCCTTATCAGTAGTTTGACAATCAATCAAAAGCATTATTTATTTACGAAAAAAAATACATTTGAAATGTACATTTATAATATACATTTAAATATATATATTTAAAATTGTTCACCTAAAAGTGAAGATTGTGTTCTTCCATGAGGTCATGCCATTTTAAAACTGTACAAGATAATTCGTTGCGTGTCTAGGGGCGAGTGATTTTAGCTGCTAAAACAAGTCACGCTTAGATAAAATTGGTCTGAGTCGGCCTGGCCACTTCACTTGTAACTTTTCTGCTGCTCGTAGGATGGTATGATTGTTTCTCCCATGGAGTGGAGGAAAGTAATTTATGTTTCTCCCACACTTGCAAAGTCGTCTGCAGTGACAGAATAATTAGTACTGTACATGGGCGTCGATCAGTGGGGGACAAGGGGACACGTCCCCCCCCCCGCACTTTTCCAAGTAGTGGGGGGGGGGGAAACATCATATCTATTGTTCCCCCCCCCAAACTTTTCACCAATCTTCTATAATTAAAACCCCACTTTAAAGAAAAAACGTAAGGAAAGAATAACAATTACGCATGACTCATGAATTTTGTCTGTTCACTTTTTTAGGTACGTACTTTCCGGACCTAAACCAAGTGAAAACGCAATTGTTTATTAATAATAATAATAATAATTCTGGATTTATATAGCGCCTCCCGTTGACACAACCATCTCAGAAACACTAGATCGATTTCATGGGTGCAGCGGTTATCAGAGGCTACATTTCTTGTGAAAACAATGTACTGAACGTTGTTAAAATTGGAAGCGTGTATACTTACTAGGCCAATGTTTTTACAAACTCAAAAGTGCATCATTTCTACTATAAAATGTATTCCTTTTGTATATTATTATGACCCGTACGTATATACTAGTGTTTAATATTATCTACATACATAGGATTACTGTTTTTCCTAATTTCAAAAAATTATAGTCAGTCAATTGAATTTTATATAGCCATTATTAAACAATAATTTTACAGCCTTTGACACGGACACGTCTATCAATTTAGTGATACCAAACGTTTACAAATTTTAGTGACATAATTGGAATAAAATCAAAATACTAACTAAAGAAACTAATTCATTCAAAAGGAAAATAAATAAAAAAAAGCTATAGCATTAAACCGAGATTGCAGATATGAGCTACCACCCATATACAATAGCCTGTTACGTCATCACACGAACATCAACGCTGACGTGTCAGTTGACCGCTAGATTCAAACGGCTGACGAAGATGACGGAGTGTCATCGAAAGCTCCCAGACATTAAACTACAACTCTGAAAGGTAACTTACACTCTTTTTCTTATTATCATGACAGAGTTAGAGAATAACTTCCATGCGATTATTATACGTCAACATGGACGAGATGTCCTCAAAGCGGTACCTAACATCAAAAACATCAATAAGAAGGTAGCCAAATTGAGGAACCACCTCATTTTCAATATACGCTGACAGTATACGAACAGACATAAAATAGTGTCAAATTACGATCAAATGTGAAAGGTCTCAAAGCCAAAACTATACTACATAAAGCGGAGAAATCATTACTAGATAAAAGAAGTGACTTTACTATTAAGAAGTTATACAAAGGAAAGCATACGTTAGAAGCTAAACTTTATACATTCCCTACAATAGATGTATCAGTAAACAAGAAATCAACACCTATTTAATGAAGGAATATGATCGAGTCTTCGAAAAAACAAAATGTAAACATAGTAATAAATTTAAATGCATGAGTGAACACAAACAAAAACAATTACACAGCACACGTCGAAGGAATCCGACATAAAGAAGAGATGGATGATCAATGTATCCGAAAAGGATGTATCTACACAACAAACTAATGTACTAACTAAAGGTCTGAATTTCGCGGTTGCACCACGAAACTTACCCTTTAAAGAAATAATTACTAATACTGAATTTGCATGTTCACAACTCGTGGATAAAGAAAAAGCCCAAGAACTAAGAAGCGATGTAGTTCGTATACTTAAAAGAGCCAAAGCCCCAATAAGCAACATCTCAAAAGACGAAAGGATAGCTTTAGCCAACCTTAAAAGAAATAACGACATTATATTACCTGAAGACAAAGGCCGAGCTACAGTAGTTATGGATAAAGAAAAATATGAAAAGAAAATTAATGCATTATTACAAGACAAAGCAACATACAAGAAGCTAACAAAGGACCCGACCAGTAAGTACAAAAATAAACTTATTAACATGTCAAGAAAATGGAATGGACAGAAAACCAGTGGCGGCTCTTGTCCGACAGGGGGTCTTGAGCTCGTGGCTCGAGCTAGGAGAAGGAATTAAGATAGGGTTCCCCCTCCCAAATGAGATTTTGTTGAAGAATATCAACCTCTAGATGGGCGAAAATGGCACTCTCAGACTGTGACAGACATGTGTTGGCTTGGTGTGGGCCTATTTTTATATGTTTTCTGGTCTGACTGCCCGACGAGCTCTGTCTAATAAGGGGGTGGGCTTGACCTGTCCGATGGGGGGCTTAAGCCCCCCTGCCACCCCACTGGCGCCGCCACTGCAGAAAACTATATCAAAAAAGCTGTATACCCAAATGTACCACATCTGAGATTCCGAAATTATATGGACTTCCGAAAATTCATAAACAAGACGCTCCACTACGACCAATAGTATCAAGCATTGGCAGCGTATCATATCAAGGATCCAAATTATTAAAAGAAGTATTAAGGCCATTAATAGTACAAATTGAACACCATGTTATAAACAGTGTCAACTTTGCCAAAAAAGACCAAGAACATTAAAGTTCCACCAAAACAAAAGTTGATATCATATGACGTTGAATTATTATTCACTAACATTCCAACTATGAAAGCCATACATATTACTCGAGAAAGATTAGAACAAACACGTCATTAGAAAGTAGAACGTCTCTTCCGATAACTCATATAATCGAACTCTTAACATTGTGTTAAACACAACATATTTCTCCTACAAAGAAGAGTTTTACCTACAAACCAAAGGCACAGCAATGGGATCTCCGGTATCTCCTATAATCGTGGACATATACATGGACAACTTCCAACACATGGCGCTATAACCACATCACATCCCTCAGAGTTTTGGTATACATATGACACATTTACGAGATTACCGAATTGAAGAATTTACGGACCACATAAACAGCATCAATCCAGACATTCAAGTTACCATTGAACAGGAACAAGACATGAAACTTCCGTTTTTGGATACATACACACATGTTAATGCAGACACTTCTACAAAAGTCACGATTTACAGAAAACCTACACGTACACACAATGACCAATATCTAAATTTGCAATCGAACCATCATCTAGAACACAAGAAATCAGTGCTTCTTTCTTTATTATGCCGAGCAGAGAACATTATAAGCGAAGAATAGGACAAAATTAGTGAAAATAACCATATACACAAAGTACTAGCGGCAAACAATTTTCTTAAAATTTTCCTTCCTTTCTCTACAATTCATTTTAATGCAAGAAGCATTTTAAAGAACTTCTACCAGATTGAACAGCTAATAACATCTCTTAATTTTCCATTTGACATTATTGCAGTCAGCGAAACCTGGCTTAAACTTCCAAATTACCACTTCACTGCCAATCACAGACGTTATAAACACGGCGGTGGAGTTGCCATGTATATTCGTGATATCCTTCAATTTTTCCTAAGAGATGATTTACACTATGACCCCTCTACTTGTGAAGCCATCTTTATTTAAATTGTAAGACCAAATGAAAATAATATAGTTATATTCATTCTATATAGAGCTCCCTCTCTTGATCCCTCCTTGTTCATCGACCAATTTGACTCTGTTTTATCCAAATTGTCTAGGGAAAACAAAATTGCCTATATTCGTGGTGATTTTAACATCGACATCCTCAAACATGAACCTAATAATGACGCGCGTAATTTTGTTAATTCCTTTTTTAGAAATCATTATCTTCCCCTTATGGATTAAAATGAAAATTTAGACTAACTATAATTATTATTTAGAGTGGAGTTTTAACAAGGTGCCAAATTCAACCACTTTAATGATCTTTTCTTTAAATACAAAAATGATATCAAGGCTACCTGGAGTACTATAAATTCTCTTATCAGAAGAAGCCCTAAAGATCAGCCAGATACCTATTTTGATTGCAATGGTGACCTTACCAATGACCCAGACAAAATTCAAGCACATTCAACAAATACTTTGTTGAAATTGGCCCTTCACTATCTAACAATATCCCCCAATGCGACATTTCTTTTAAAGAATTCCTACCCAACCCTACACGAAATTCGTTATTTCTTATCCCTGTAGGCATTAATGAGGTGGCCACTATTCTTAATTCTTTTAAAAACAAGTCACCTGGTATCGACGGTTTTCATACCAAAGTAATAAAACATGTTTTGGATTTAATTTCTTTCCCCTTCTCTCATATATTTAATCTTTCAATCTCTAAAGGTGTTTTTCCAAACAGAATGAAGCAAGCCCGTGTAACTCCCATTTTCAAATCTGGACTAAAATCCGATATTTCTAATTATCGTCCCATATCAATACTCTCTGTTTTCTCAAAAGCCTTAGAAAAAATCATTTATGACAGAACAATAAACTTTATTTCAAAATATAATATCCTTTACAATAAACAATTCGGATTTAGGAAAGGATACAATGCGCCTATGGCCCTTATTGATCTTGCCAGCAAACATTTGAAAGCAGGCAGTTTGCTATCGGAATTTTTATAGACCTTTCTAAGGCTTTTGATACGATCAATCATAACATTCTCTTATACAAATTAGCTCATTATGGAATACGCGGCCCAGCCCTAGATCTTTTCCAGAGTTACCTTTCAAATCGCAGTCAATGTACCAAATATTTTAACTCCATTTCTAATTCCCTTCCCATTACTTGCGGTGTTCCTCAGGGGTCTTTGTTAGGTCCCTTACTTTTTATATTATATATTAATGATATACATTCGTCCTCTAATCTTCTTTCTTTTTTTCTGTACGCAGATGACACTACTATTTTTTATGCTAACAAAAACATTCAAGCTTTATGTGACACTGTTAATGCCATCCTTATTTGCCTGTCTAAATATTTTTCTACCAACAAACTTTTAATAAATCACAATAAATGTAACTTCATTCTGTTTCGAAGCCCCCAGATGTCAAAATTTCATGACCTTTCACCCTTAAAAGTCTATATCGATAATCATGCCATTCCAAATGTTCAACATACCAAATTTCTAGGGTCTATCTTGACTGTGGTCTAACATGGAAGAAACAGATAAACGAAATTGAAAATAAAGTCTCCAAAAGCCTTGGTATCATTTTTAGATTATCCTCATTTGTTCTCCTCAATGCACTACGTTTACTGTATTGCTCGCTAATTCTTCCTTATCTGAGCTACTGAAACATTGTATGGGCTAATACCTACCCCTCATACTTAAATAAACTTCACATTATTCAAAAAAGTCTATCATGTTTATATCTGGCTCTCCACCGCGGTCTTATTCCTTTAGTTTATTCTCAATTTTAAATTTGCTCAAACTCCCTGATATCAACTCTTTCCAACAAAGTATTTTTATGTATGCATCCTCTTACTCCATTTTACCAAAGTACTTTTGTGATATGTTCAAACCTAATTCCTCTCTACACAATTACTGTACTCGAGGTAGATATGCTGTATACATTCCAAATCATAAGACTATTTTCAACATAATATTAGATTTACTGGCCTTAAACTATGGAATTCTTTACCTCCCCTTATTGTCGATTCCATTAATAAAAAGTCATTTTCTATCCAGCTTAAGAAACATTATTTCTAGTTATTAATATAGTCAACTCCCTTATTATCCTTTTTTTTAACTAACTAATGTCCGGTGTCTTGGTCTATTTTGAACTGTTGCTTTCTTTCGTTGCGTGTGTCTTCTACCTTTGTCCGGTTTTGTCCATGTCCTTTTTCTTTTCTGTTTGTTTTTCGTGTCTCCCTTTTGTCTTTTTGTTTCTGGCTGACTCGTCACAAGATGATTTTTCTTCCTAGGTCTATGCCTTTTTCCTTTTCTCATGAATTTGTTATGATCTTGTTATATATTTTTGTACGAATTGAAAAGGAAGTAAATAAATGTTACTTTGAATTGAATTGAATTGAAGGTCGTGGTAATGTGGCCACGTAGAATATTTAAATTGCTAAAATCAGTTTAGGAAAGACCTCGTGGTTCCTGCAGTTTTTAAAATCTGGCCCCACTTCAAAAGACTTCTTGCATATAGTAGTTGGCTGCCAGTCACAATTTTCTTTTTCTTATTCTTATAATTTACTTCCAAAATCTAGAACATATTAACACAATGAGAGTTTTTTTTTTTGACAACTGTACAAAGACACAAGACCACAAAAACTGCAGTAGAGTTGGATTTATTAGAGCTCAGTATCACTTATATGACAAGCCTATAAGGCCAAGTAAAAAAAAAAGTAGTTTCTCGTCCTAATATTTCGAAAAAGGAGAATGAGGGCAATTTTTGTTTTTAATCCGAGAAGGGAAATCCAAAATGGTCGATAAGAAACAGCTACTTCTTTCTCAATTTTACCAAGTAGACACATTGAAAGTAAATAAAGGAAGCACGAGACATGATTCATACTATATGTATCCCCAACCACAAGAGAGGAATTTTACTGATGTGATTTAGCCAGACTTTCTTACATTTCGTAAAATAAAGTAAATTTTTTTAAAATGAAAAATTGGTAAGTAGAGAAAAAGGATGCGCGAAGAGACGAGACACTAGTATTTTTTTTCCTTGGCCTAACATAAACTAAAGAAAAAACCCAGCAGATTCAACAACACAAACCACTGCAAAATAGGAAGACATGCAATGAGCCTAAAATTCTTGCATTACCATGAAGATAATTACAAACGTGTGAATCATTACGTTATCATAATTATTGATTTGTTTTCCATAAATTTCAATTCCTTTATATATTATTATAGGCCTATATGATATGATATATATGATATGATGAGTTTTTTAATATTATAGTAAATTCATCATATGAAATTGAATAATACACGTTCATCGCTACTATTTAGTAATATTATACAGTAAAACCTCTTTTGGGACAACCCTAATAAAGAAACTCTTTTCCGTGAAACAAGGTGAAATATATTTTAACCTAAACAGTACGACCAACTCCTAATAAAGGAATGGACATCGGTATTGGCCCATTGTGTTTGTTACTTTGTGTAAATTAATCATGGAAATTATTATTTTTTTCTGCGTACTTTCTTAATACGATTTGATTCTTATTCATCCTATTCATGGAATTTATTTGTGTGTGTGTACTTTGTAGAATTCTAGGTTCCAATCCATGCCTTAACCCTCACCCTGATTTCTAAGTCATTACCCTGTCCATATATCTTTCATTGGACTGGGATCTTGAACAATATACAACTTTTGTTGTTTTAATCATATTTATTTTGATTTTATTATAATAGTTAGTATCCCAATAATAGGGGTCCCGCTATTCAGGGAGGGACACTTTTTGGTCCCGAAGGTGTTCCCTTAATAGGTGTTCTACTGTATTATTTGGTATAAGATTATATCAACGTTATAAATACCAAGACATTGTATGCTTAATATTATTTGTATTTAATTTGTTACTAAAACTTAACTAATGGTTATACGTTAGGGCCTATAATAATGGTTGTAGTATGTAATTCTAAACGTCCATACAGACACAATATAAGGCAATTTCGAACCAAATAATTATTACAACCGTTGCTGCAATAGTGTGCTAATAAAGCAGTACCACGCATGTGAACCGTGTTTGTAGCCTCTCTGATTTCTTTCATGTAAATCACTAGCATTTTGTGGTTGATGACTATTGTGTAATTATACGATTATTGTATATGTAATACAGTGTAGTATATAAATTAGAACTTTCAACAATTTTAAAAACAGATGTTCCGAAATGTCTTTAGGAGACTTAAATGACCATTGTTTCCTGAAACAATAATTGGCTTCATCAGTGCACTAGATAAGAACTCCCGTCTATAATGTAGTATGTTAAAGTTTAATTTTCATAATTCCCAAAGAATACATTTACAATGCAATCAAAGAAATAACAATGATTCATTCAAAAACAGAAAATACGAAAAGCAATTTTTCAGTCTCCTCTAATAAGAGTCTTATGGTTATAGTGATAATTATTTAATTCTTTTTACCTTTTTCCATTCTTTTCCCTTTACCCTTTTAATTAAAAAAAAAATTCAATTAACTTTTCTTGTTAAGATTTTTGGTCTACTCATATACATAAGCGATTCCTGATTTTTTACACCACATATTGGATAAAATTGACTTCATTTCTATCAAGGAAAAGAGAGGGGATACGAAAAGATCTACAAAATGAAGTTCGTCGGCGAAAAACCCATGTTGATTTTTATATGTGTAAATTTTGTTAACACTACATTACTCTCTCTTTCCCCTTCCCCTTTCTCCGTATTTGTATTTGTTTTTGTAGTTATGTTTTAGAATATATATATATATATATATATATATATATATATATATATATTTCAACAATCCACTGTTCCCTTATATATGCGAATGAGTGGATCTTGCATTGTTAAACCCAAACCAATTACAGATCAAACACGAGGGGGGAGGGGAGAAGAAATAATCAGTGCCGACAATATCAATACATTTTACATCTCCCTTATTAGTTCCGAACTCCTGTAAAACTATTACTCTTAATAATATATAACAGCGAACTATATTTTCATTAATTTACTCTGAGGGACAATTCAAACCGTATTAGTGCACTCTTGGTCACCTCAAATGGTAGACATATTTTTGTTTAATCTATATGTTAAAGTTTTTTAAGGTAGACATTACAACAATATTACTTGCCAATAAACGTATATTTCTAAATATCATTATTAGTCACTGTAGAGACGAGGACCGGTAACTAACTGTCTGTGGGAGTTTGGGACAGCAAAATCTACGATACTCGTCAAAGCCAATCAGCATCTGGACGAGGGTGCTCAGCCGCCAACAGACAGCTGAGTCAGTGCAATAACAATGCTATGTGCGTGCGACTATATACAATATAACTACCAATTACATGGTTTCGATGGCATCCTTCAACTGCTCTAAAGTGGGCAGTTCAATGATTTCCTTGGGAGTGCTTCCCAGTCTTTATTTTGTTGATGGTGTTGTACGTATTTCCAATGACGTAACAAATTCCAACTTGCATCTCAGCGACTGGCAATTCTCAATGTTTCCAAAGTACACAACATATCTGTGAAAATCGTTTTGATTAAAATTTGACATAATATAACAATGATGGATCTAATAATTCTGCAAGATTTTAGAATGGTCCGAAATTTCACGGGGAAGAATATGGGTGGCGAAAAATGTCCGGAAGAGATTTTTTGCCAAGTTGCAAACATTTCAAGTTATCTCGGCTTGCTTCGAAACAACCTAATGTAAAGTCAACTCAATCAACTTCAAAAATGTTTGAGATTATTATCCCAAAAAACAAGAAAAGATATTATTTTGAGCAAAATAATTAAAATAGACCTAATTTTTAAAAAAAATATTTTTTACCAATAATTGGTCAAAAATATTGTTTAACATTTGAGTTAAGGACTGTTTCCTTAATCATGAATTGTTAGGTTACTAAAGTGCATAAAAAAGTGATTTTCTGAAGGGCATCTTTAATTTGTAAGAATATTAAATTAAGAAATTAGGTCATATTTGATATTTGAACCCTGAGATTTAAAAAAGACTTCCTCATGAACCTAATTTAATCCTAGATTGTATTTATAATTATTATGACCATTACCTAAAAACCTAACAAAGGGCTAAAACATCATATTTTAGCTTCTGTTAGTGGTTACTTTACTTAATGTTATGTCGACTATATATTTTTTCTATTTGAAAGCATAAAGGTATATGATGTAACACTGAATTGTAACTTTCATAATTGTTGTTTAGTATGTGCGGTGTATTGTACTCAGGAATTTTTGATCTTTGAACCCAATATTATCAGGAAATATTTTGCTTATTTTGAAAACAAATAAGCAGATAAAAGCAAAATATAATTGGACAATATTGACGTTTAACCGATATTTCAAAAAATCCCCCGATTTCGACTGATCACCTTTCAAATTCGTCAACAAATCTGGTCTGTAAAAGTTGTGTAAAACTGTATCCCTCGTCGGGATTATTTTTTCATAGTTAATTTAACTGATTTATCCCTTGTATAATGATACCCTTTTAATAATAATAACAATAACATTTAATAATAAGACATTTATAATGTGGCAATTCAAACAATGGACTAGATGTTCCCCTTTTCAATAACTTTCTCCTCTCCTGATGGTCACTTCATGTCTCCTGCAGCGGGTAAATCGAGGCATTTTCATCTGTCTACAACAGGTGACGGCGAGGACCAGTACACCTGAGTAACCCCCTACTCGTCTCAAAAGATGTACTGGGTTCTTAAAAGTGCATATGAGCATTGTGTACACTGGGCCTACGGTTTATAATCCTTATCCGAGAAGACTTGGTCTATCACCAGAACTAGGAAAAAGCCGGCCGGCCACCGGCCAAGAACCTGTGGGCTATGGTTACGATGCCCCTGTCTTTAACCACTCGGCCATTTGACTTGTTCAATTATATCTAAATAAGAACAACTATATAAATATTATGACAATATATATGTTATATCTCTAAAAAAAAAAACAAAAAAAAAAACTTAGGTAACTCAGTTTACCTTAGTAGGGAGAACATTTCTGTGTGTTTTTTAAAGAAATAATTGGATCCTCTAACTATAACATTTGATCCTGATCTTTTGAACATATTTTGAAAACGTGTTGCCATCAAAGGAAATATTCTTTGACCATTTTGAACCAATTTCTAAAGTCGAATTGCCTACAAAATCTGGTTTAGGTTTTATAACAATTGTGTGGCTATTTTAATCTTTCAAACACTTTCCCCGGTATTTCTCCCCGTACATTTTCCCCCAGAATTAATTGCCCCTAGACTCCCCCTCCTTTACATTAAATATATAATTTCAATTATAAATTTAAATTTATAATACATTTTAATTTTTTATTTTTTACTTAATTTTAAGGAAGCAGTTGGTCCTAAAATATTCATTAGTGCAATAAGATAGCAAGTCTAATTGGTAAAAACGAATTTTCCCCAGGCTCAGTGTTCTTATTTTTTCCCTATTTCAGTCTAAAACAATATTCCTATTTCATTCATATTTTTACACATTTTTGGAACACACAAACTATTATTTTACAGCAGTATATTACTGTATTAGGGTATTACCATAAATCTTAATTATTATAATCTATGTCTTCAATAGCGTTATATCATAACTTAATGATAATAATAATAATTATAATTTATTATAAAGAGCAAATGTAATAAGTTTGTTTATATTCTGCATGAATAATAATTCAATAATATTAACAATAATAAGAATAATACAAATTCAGTAACTATAAAGAGCAAACGTAATAAACTTGTTTATTCTGCATGGATAATAATTTAATGATAATAATAACAATAAATAAGAATAACAACAATTTAATAACTATAAAAAGCCAATGTAATAACCTTGTTTATTCTATATGAATAGCATTATTGACTATAGTTGAAATAGATAATCAAAAGTATTTTAGTTTAAAAAAATAATCAAGTAAAAATTACAGCTTTATAAGTTTTTACTTTGTACGGTATTTTTTATATTAGTTAGATGCTTTGTTGCCTACACTTATTTTCCATGTAAATATTGTTGTTTGTGCAATTGATTTAATAAAGATTTAATATAAAATAATGATAAATCTTGATGTATTCTTTGTATTTAAATTATTGTATTATTTAACGCACAATGTAAGGGGAGAAGTCTGGTGGTAATGTCCTGGGGGAAAAATTCTGGGGCATATGTCATGGGGGAAATGTCCGCGGGAAAATACCGGGGACAAGTGTTCGGGAAGCATATGTCCGAGGAAACCAGCTTACTACCGCTTAGCCTCATAAGATCCTACGAATGGATACCTTGGTCGAAGCAAGAAATCAAGATGTATATACCCCTGTCTCTTATACACATCTAGATGTGTATAAGAGACAGTACACAGCCCAGGTCTATACCCTAGCT